GTGTTAAATTGTGTCACTTTTATGGGTTAATTAAGAGTTATATTTTACTTAATTAGAGTCCTTTAGGCCTATTATGTGCTTAGAATAGCTTAATTTGATTAAAGTTAGGCACAAGGACTAGTTTTGGTTACATTTGTGAAAATAGCAAAATATTGACAACTTTAGGACATTTCGGAAGAAAAATCATATCTAGAGCAAGGAGTGTCCGATCGAGGTGATTCAGGTGGCCATGGATCGGCATCGAAAAGATCTACAACTTTAGTGAAGACGACGAAGGCTATTTCGGATATCTAGGCAGTAAAATTCCCATTTACACCGGAGTCACGCGCGTAACGCGACGTGAGCTGAAGCGACATTTTGGCGACATTTTGAGTTATTTAAAATTGCTTTCGATTCGTTAGATCTTTCCAGATGGATGGCTCTGATCAGTTCCTAGTTCTATCCTGCACAGTTCTCATTTGATATGATTCCTATATATGTATGTATGTATGTATGTCTTCTACTCTTCAGGTCTAGAAGATGAAGAGTCGAAGAAGAAGAGTCAAAGATCGAAAGGTTCAATTGACTGAAGAGTGGAAGGGTCAACCTTAACCGGACAGTAAAGCCACATGGAAAGTTAACATAAAGCAAGAAATTAATTTCCAAGAAGTATGGATTGACTAAGGAAAGTCAAATCCAATAGGTTGCTGAGGAGAGTTACGAATGATCAGCCTCCGAAGAGTAAAAGGTGACATCTCGTAACCTACTGTTCGAACATTCTCTGAGCGAACAATAAACAACCTCAAAATGATGACTTGCAAGAAAAATGTTACCAAGGTATAAGGTGTCCTAGGTACCCATCCCAATGAAGACTTCCCAAAAAAAAAAAACCAAGACATTTTTTTGCAGTCAAAAAGTTAAAAAGCAAACGCAAAAGTACTTCAATGGCTGAAAATTTAACAAAAACAACCTACTATGCTTTACTGGCCTGTTATTGCATATTGGTTAATAGGAAGTTAGATAGCTTTTGTTAATTAAAAATAAAGAATTTTTAATAATAATACAATAATTTTGAAAATAATATATTTTACAAATATAATAATTTAGAAAGTAATATATATTGAATAAAATAGAGATAAAGTACCAATGTACCGTGTGAATATTGTTTATGGTTGAGAATGCTATTCAATTCATACATTGTACTATAAATATTGTTTATGGTAGATAACTTTTGTTATATGAGAACGGTTTAAATTATTATATAAGTAATAAATATGTTTAGAAAATTATATAGGTAATAAGTTATAAATATGTTTAGGAAATTAGATAGATTTTGTTAATTAGAAATAAAGAATTTCTTAATAAAATACATAATAATTTAGAAAATAATAAATATTTTGCAAGAAAGGACCCGATCAATATTACTCTTTTTTAATGATGTGACACATTCTCCTTCATCGTCGATATATAGCATCTATACACCGACGGTACTTCAAATATTAATCCTAAATAGAATACCAAATAAATGCATTTACTACATGCTATGATATAGCTAGATTGTCCTAATATGCATCTAACAACCTTTGAATTTTACATGAATGCCCAAGGTTCCTCCTCCTCATCAGGGAGGTAACATTTTATGTTGAAAGCTTTGTAGACCATCTCCAATGTCATTCCATCAATGGTTTCAGCAAGAGTTTGGCAGGTAAGATCAAGCAAGCTCCATATCTTGAGGTATTTAGCAGCCAAGATGAGATCAAACAACGTTCTCTTGTCAACTTTAACGAAATTAGCATCGAAGGCCTTAAGGTCATCTAACATGTTGGGCTTATTCTCAACATGGCGCCTGCAGTATTCTATAACCATAGTCAATATCTTGCTACTCACACTAGGGAGGGGGATCACAGTGTCGCCGTCATAGTAATCTATAACCAAGTAGTTGAACTTAAGCGCCACCGCCTCTTCGACAGAGAAGATATTTTCGTCAGAACTACTCAACAAGATCATCTTTGAGGAAGACATTGCGAGATAGCGATAAAACAATAAAAGCGAATAGGTACATATAATACCTTGTGAATCTTTAAACTTAGACCTTGGGAATCCCTTTTCATAGACGAGGTGCAACCTTATTCTTCACTAGCGAAATTAAGGGGCTATTGGGCCGGCTCACCAAGAATATTTTTAATTCAATATTATACCTAACCCGCAAATCTACTATACTAATAAGAGCCCAAGAGAGTTACGCCTATAATGGGTAGAAAAAATGGCGGTCACAGATTTTAATCAAATGAATGGCTCAGATTGATTAAAAGATTGATAAGATTTAAATTTTACACTAAAATTTCCTAAAATACCCACACACCGTTACTAATTCCGTTAAAATTTTAAGAATTGCCGTTAGTTCACCGTTAACTTACTCATTGATTTCAATAAAAAAAAAAAAAAGGTCTTAGGTTCGAACCTCATCCCAATCAAAGTTGGCATAATTAGTACTCTATTTTACTCTTATTAAATTATATAAATAATAATTTAGTAGCTACAACAAAAAATTATAGATATGCATTTCTTTAATTTAGAATTATGTGTCCACAATGCCTTTATTTAAAAAAAAATTATTCATTATCAATAAATTAAATAAGAGAAATAATTGTATTAGTTATATTGTTTTTTTTTTCTACAATATAAAAATTCTTTATATTCAAATTTATTAATTGATTATATTCGCTACATTGTCCTTACAATGTCTTAATTCAGTGAAAAAAAAATTATTCATTATCAATAAATTAATTAAGAGAAATATTTTCATTAGTTATATTATCTTTATTTTTCTCAAATGTAAAAATTTTTACATTCAAATTCATCAATTGATTATATTCACTACATTGTCTATTATCTTTTTTGTGCACTATTTTTCTAATTAAATATCAAATTTATAATACAAAATAATGCTATATATTTATTTACCAAGTATTATATTAATACCATGAAAAAATTAAAAAATATATAATTAATTAAAGCCAACCATATTAACTACTTGAGAGATTTTGTGACAGCGAGAGTATTCAAATCACACAACAAATTGAAGTGAGAACTACCTTGCAATGTCCTTGTTTGACAATCAGTAGTTAGCGGATTATATTAGCGGATTTAACCAACGAATTTATTTAATTATTAACATTGGGTAGAAAAAATGACCGTCAAATTATTAAATCAAATGAATGGTTCAAATTGTTCAAGTTTTAATTTTTTTTAATGTTTTTCTAATTTATCCTTAATTATATGATTATCCATTTAACTTTTCCGTTAAATACCGTTAATTCACCATTAGTCTAATTCTAATATTAACGTCTAATATAGAATTATAATTACATCATTAATCTAATTCTAATATTAAAGTCTTAATAGAACTTAACCACAAATCCTAATGCCGAAATCTCCTCAAACAATATTAGTATATATTTAATATTTTATGCCCTAATTTTTATTTGTTCTCCCTTATGTCCCGTATTTGGTTTCAACCATACCTATACAATTATTTTATTGACAATTATAATCAATCTTGACTATATTATCTTGCATTTGTAAACTTAGAATTACCTATTTAACCCTCACGGGCTTAGCTCAATGGTTTAGTGGGCAGTATTTGGGAGAAGAGACCAAGGTTTGAACCTCGGCGGCGGCAGTGCGGGAATTATGTCCAAAGTGGGTAGATTCCTTGTTCGCACCGGCATTTGGTCATGTCTGCTGAACCATTGAGTCACCGTGATTTACAACTTCCCACAATGCTCTGTCGGGTCAGAGTGTGGGGGGCCCTTGGGGTTGGGGACTCAACCTTTGCGAGAAGAATTACCTATTTAAATACTCAAATTCAACCTTCAATTATCTATGCATGAACAATTTCAATATAATCTTGTCTTAATATACTTTAAAGTACTTATTTAAAAAAAACATTGGGCATTATCCCAATCGCGCAATGCGCGTAAAAAACTAGTTATATCATAAACAAGAATTTCACCGTAAGTGTGAACATGAATTCACTATAGGCATTGTGAATCCCGATCGAAAATATAATAATTGTATCTAAAGAGAGTAATAATTATATCCTTACTTTATATGCTCTTTTTTTTCATTTAATTTTTTTGTATATTAAGTTTTTTTTTTTTTTTTGAGAAGATTTGAATATTAAGTTTTAATGATTTCACTTATAATATTTTGGATACCTGTGCCTTTATAGTGTTAATATCTACTTAAGTTTTGGTAAATATTTTTAATGGTTGTAATTTTAATTATTTTTTCTATTATTGTATTTCTCGTTCTATTCTATTATATTTACATAGAATTAATACTATCTTGGGTGGTTTTCAACAAATACCATATGGGGTCCTCCAAGTATTGTGATTTTGTCACGTTTAGTTTTAAACTTTCAAATTGATCACCTGTGGTCTTTCACCTTTCAAATTGTTACCATTCGTGGTCCAAGTTGACCATCTGTATCCTTCAACTATCAAATTTTAACATGTCGTGGTCCTTCCAAGAGGACCATAGCTGGTTAAATTTTAAAAGTTGAAGGATCATATGTGGTTAACTTGAACTACGAATGATAACAATTTAATTTGAAAATCGAAGGACCATGAGCGATCAATTTGAAAGTTTAAACTAAATGTGCCAAAACCACTATACTTGGAAAATCCCATATGGCATTAACTTTATTTACATATATGGATTGCATCCCAAAATAAAAACGATACAACAATTCAATTTTCTCTTTACTTTCTTATAATTCCGATTTAATGTCTCAAAATATGACATCGATTTTGATTTTGTACCTATGAATTGTAGATCACAAAGTCAATACTTATCTCAAAATTTCATACTCCTTGCTACTTTCCTCTATCTACCCTCGGTAGAGATATTGTTAAAATGAAAAACAACGTTCACACCTTGCTAAAAAAAAAAAAAAAAAAAGTTCACACCTTGCTACTTTCCTCTATTCACCCTTGGTAGAGATATTGTTAAACATGAAATGAAAAGCAAAGTTTTTCTTCCAAGGATACATGGCTAAGTTCTGGATACAAGTAAATTCCATCTAACTTCTAAAAGAATACAACTCTTTTGGGCAAATATTCCTTGATCAAATCCCTTTTCAATGATACATACAAAAATACATCCAAGAACTGAGCTTTAAGAGATATCAAGACAAAAAAGAAGCTCCATAGCCTCCACTAAGTATGCACAATATCTTGAAGAACAGAATAGCTCAAAGGCATGCCTATTGAGAACCCCATCTAAACCAAAGCCATTTCCCCTCATTCACCTTTGCATTAATCTCTCTTTTGACAACAGGAATCAATAACAAGCCCGCAAAGGATATTGACAGAATAAGCATAAAAAATACGCTATTCCATCCTCGAGTTGAAATATATCCCGCGAGGAGTGGCCCAATGGCGGCTCCTACAGAACCAGTCCCGTCTATAATTGCAGTTACAGTAGCTAATGCCCGTGAACTTCCACCTGCTACACTCTGAGTGCCAAGATCAGCTGCAACTGCTGTTGTAATGAGAGCATACGGTCCATTAACCAGTGAGCCAGAAATAAGCATCAACGCTATGTTGGCGAACATGGATATACTTCCATAAAGGCGATATAAAATAAGGGCCGGAATTGACAACAACAAGAAGGCAACTGAAGTTACAGCCCGGGCTTCAATTTTATCAGAGATCACCCCTGCCAAAATTCCTCCAATTACTCCCCCAATATCAAAGATTGATGAAAAGATTCCTGCTTTTTCGTGAGACAGATGCACTCCAGCAACAGCTGCAATTACAGGGATATATTAAATTAAATAAACATAGTTACTTATAACACAACCCCCATCCAAGAATCAAAGCACCCGTATATGAAATCTAGACCGACTAGTTTACCAAATCTTCCATGGTAAATTTGCAACGAAATTGAGTAACACCATATAGAATTGGGAAACAACAAAACCAATAAACCAGAAAGGCAAACAATCCATAGCTACCGAATTCTGAGCCTGTAATACCTGTGTGCCTTATGTAGAAGGGCAACCAATACAGAAATGTGTAAGCCACGAGTTTTGAGAAGAACAGGCAGAATGCATATTGTGCAACCCCGGGTAGCTTCCATGCCTCCAAGAACCCAATTGCTACAGAGCCTTCATTTTTAGATGCCACTAATCTCCCCTCCTCTCCTTCATCTTCACCTACCAATGCCTCTCCCTCGGGGACTATCTCAACCTCATCTGCTGGCATATCAAAACCAATAACTTCTGGCCTTACAACAAGAAACAAATAAACCGAAATTGCCACAGCCACGATGAAAAGCCCAGGCAACACAAAAGACCATCCCCAACCATATCCCAAAACTGATGAGGCAACTAAAGAACCTATAATATTCCCTACTGAAGTATGGGAATTCCAAACCCCCATTATGAATCCTCTCTTTGCCTTCCCAAACCAATTCCCCACCACTGCCACCACACAAGGCCACCCTATTGACTGAAACAATCCACAGAAACACTGAACCACCACGAAAAATGGCAGCCAATGCACATCAAGAAAATAACCCAACCCAAAAACTATAACGAAAACCCCACTGCCCACCATTCCCGCAGTCAAGAAAAGCCTCAGATCAATGCTATCACCTATATGACCCGCGAAATACATCCCCACGGAGTAAGACAACAGAAAGAAGAGATCGAGCTCGCCAAGCCTGTGGGGTCCATCAGGGCCATCAAACGGCGCCCACCCACCTGTCCATTCTAGAGAACTGTTGCTAGTGGTGTTAAGGGTTTTGGGATCTGGGCCAAGAACAGATTTAACTATGCTAGGGGGTTTACGGGAAGCATGGAAGGCGGCGTAGGCTGTAAAGGTGAGGGCGAAGACCAAGATCTGATGGGAAGTCTTGTGTGGAGAATTGAGAGTTGGGAAGAGGCGAAGACCCGGCGGTAGCGATGGCGGCGCCGGCGGTTTGAGGGGCGGTGGAACCGGATTTAAGGTCTTGAGTTCCATCATTTTTGGATACACCACAATCAATCAACAATACAAAACCTGTGTCCATACATATACACTCGTGCAAACCCAGTATTTATCTATGCAAGATGTGTTCATAACATCAATTACACGCAAACTATGCAGAGACAGACCATAGGGGCGGTTATAGGGAAGAAAGGGGAAAGGGCCGTGTTAAAGAATGGATCAAAATCAAGATTCAAGAATGAGATTGAAGAATTATATGCGTCTGAATTGTGTACCGCGGGGTTTCTTCTCCGATTGTGAAAAATATTCCGCCTGAAATCTGAATCGGAGAAATGGCGATACGTCGTAAAAGCTAAGAAACCATGTCCGATGGCATTTTCAAAGTCAAAATCAGTTTCAGCGGTTGAGGTTTTGGTACTATCAGTACCGGTTTAGGATTTTTTTTTTTTTTTTTTTGGTGAGGAGTACCGGTTTAGGATATTGATTCCTATTGGCTCATCAATTTCCAACTCACCATCTAAAATAAAAATGGAGGGTACTACATACTCACTTCTAAATTTAAAAAAATGGAGGGTAAATATTTTATTTTTTTTATGATCAGACTTAATTCGATTATATTATCAACTTCATGAATTTGTCTTTAGATTCATGAAAAGGTAAGTCAAATTTGTCCCGCGTTAAGACACACACCCAACTATAATTTTTTGACCTAAAAAACTTAACTCTAACCTCTAACCTCTAACCTAGTGAGTGGTAAATGTTTTTTTTTTTTTCTTTTGATTTTGGGGTTATGGTTTAGAATCTAATTTAGTTTAGTATGATTTCTATGTGCAAATTATATAATGGACCAAAGGTTATTTTGCTTTGCGGACTTTAAATTCAAAATGATATTATTTTATATATTAAATGTCAAATAGTCCATCATGTTTCAATTATTATACAGTAAACTAAGGTTCACACAATGCTATGTGGAATTATGGACTATGGTCTAATACGATTGTCAAATGAAACTATAGTAGAGTTAAAATTATATCTTAGTGTTGCTAAAATGAAATTAGTGTGTGTGTGAAAAATGAAACTAAAAACAGAACTCATGTAATAACATATAATGTCAAATGAAACTGTAGGAGAATTAAAATAATATTTTAGTGTTGCTATAGTGAAACTAATGTGTGTAGAAAATGAAACTAAAAATCAGAATTCGTACAATAATATATATATATATATATATATATATATATATATATAATATTATTGTCAAATTAACATAAAGTGTAATTAAAATTACACTTCAATGTTACTATAATTAAACTAGTATGTGTGGAACATGAAACTGAAAAAAATAGAGCTTATGCAATAACGTATATTATCAAATGAAATTGTCATGCACTATATTTATAATATTTGTTTTATATGTGTATACTTTATAAACCTAAACCTTAATGTATATAAACAATAAACTAAATGTACATCATATATATTTTCATTCACTTTAGAGTGAGTTCATAATGTTATGCTATATGTTCATGAAAATAAAGCTTAATATACATAAACATTACACTATAGACATATCATGTTCAATATAAATGTCATGTTCTGCTATATGTTCATGAAAATAAAGCTTAATATACATAAACATTACACTATAGACATATCATGTTCAATATAAATGTCATTTAAAATATCGTAATTAGAGCCTTTTAATTATATATTTTTATACATTAATTTTATTTGTACAAAAGAAAAAAAAATAAATTTAAATTATAAAAATTAAGAAGAAAAAACAGGGATATGTTGAATGTATGTAACAACATACACATTGATCCACGATATAACTATTGGCTTCTATGTTAATCGTTATGTTTGCAAAATTATTTGTCTTCTATCATTCCTAATTGGTATTACAATTATAATAAATAATCAAAATATATTGTATACTTTTTTTGAAAGCTACTGGCTCTATTACATTGTAGTATCTGTTCATATACTTTCTCAACCTACTGAAACACAAAGAACCAATAACGCCTCCACTGAGGCTTGAACTCATAATTTTCCAAATGGAAGTCCAACCCGGAACTCATACTCATATTGTATACTTAATTGCTAGCTATTTTAATGTTAAAAAACTAACAAATAAAGTACAAAACAATACAACATCAAACCTTATTGGTTGAGTGATTCATATGAACCATTGGTGCATGTTACCTCGTTAAACTACCATCCCACAACACCTTACATAACCCCAACTACCCAAAAAAAAAAAAAACAAAAAAAAAAAAAAAACAAACAAACAAACAAAAAACAAAAACAAATTAAAAACAAAAAAGAAAAAACAAAAAAACAAACAAACAAAAGCAAAATGCTAAATAAAAGAGAGATTAAAAATTATCTTTCCTAACGGTCCATAAAAGAAACTGATCGAATAATACCGATCTTTGCATAACTAGTGTTGGCTATAGCTCCATATGTGCTCCCAACCATAAGCAAGATTGGCAACTCACCTTTAATTAATAAAAGAATTCAAGCAATTAAGTTTGTTAGAAATCAAGAAGTATCATGAGACCTAGTTAGTTTGGGATACATCGAGGCAGTAAGTCCCAAGTTTACTACTCAAAGAGTCAAAAGTCTATTGCTTAAGATAGTAAAAGTCAAGTAATAAAATAGCAAAGCTTCAAACAAAGAAGGTATCCCAATAGATATAGTGTAAAACCCCAAGGAAAATGGAAAGATTTTTAAGGATAGGGATATGGAGATTATATCTCTTAGATAGTGACTAGTTACTGATATAAAACTAGGGACTAAGTTAAGGTGTTTTGCATTTCTTAGGCTTAAACAACCGTCATGACTTGATTTGGGTATATCCTTTCTTTACTAATTATTTTTTGTGTTCAAATATTCAAGTTATAAACTTATAATTTCTTATTTATCTTTATCTAATTATTTTTAAATTATTTGATGTGATTTTAGAATTTTCAAAGATTAGTTTGGAGTATCAATAGAAGTTGCCAAGTTAGAAGAGTTCTACTATCTTAAGGTAAAATGCTCACTTGATAGTTGCTATTAGTAATACTAATTGTTTTATTGTATTAACACTAACAATACTAATAGTTTTATTATATTTCATTTGATAGGTTTGAAGGAATTTATGATTTGAAGCTTGGCACTTTTTCAGAATGTTCTTTCACGGAATCTATGAATTATGTGTTTAATATCTTTGTATTAATATCTGTTTGTGACTTTGGTTTGGAAGTTGGAACTTTGGATTAATATTTGTTAATTGTTGGATTGTTTGTGACTTGTACTTGGACAATTGGACTGTTTTTGTAAGACTAATCTATTTGTGAGTTGTGACTGGCAGTGTGCTAGTAATCCTAGTATCATTTATTTTGAATTTTGAATTTGGGCATTGGGCCATTGGCAGTAAACAAAATAGTATGTATGTATATGTATTTTGAATTTAGACTTTTGGATTTTGATTTATCTTTTTTTTTTTTAATTCGATTTTTTGGTAACCAACCGATAATCGACGGTCGGTTATCGATTGGTTATGGAACCACCCTCGGTCGGTTACGAGGGTCAAAATTCACGGTCGGGATCCATGAGGGATCTATTGAAGTTCGCCATACCGGGTAGTGCTGAAAAGACTTTTGGTAGAAAGACAGTAGTTTTGGGTGGCGATTTTAGACAGATCCTACATGTTATTCCGAAAGCAACAAAACTAGTAGTTGACGGAGCAACTATTAATTATTCATACATGTGGACAAATTGCAAGGTATTAAGGCTCACCAAGAACTTGAGACCATAGCCCTTAGCTTCAGAGGAAGATAGATAGCTGGTTGATTGGTTTTCAAAATGGATTGCAGACATCGGAGATGGGATTGCAGGGGTTCTAAATGGCGGTTCATTTGAGATCGATATTCCGGCACGGTTTTTGTTTAAGTGTGGGCACGATCTCATAGAAACTATAGTGGAAAGAACCTTCCTAAGCTCAAGATATGGCATGCTTGATGAGTCACAACTAGAAGGCTGAGCGATCATCTCCCCGACTTTAGATGTTGTTGATCAAATTAATCAGCACATGTGCGACATGAATACTGCAGAAGGACGAACATATTTAAGTTGTGACTCTTTGTGTATGTAAGACATAATCAAACCGTGTAAATATATCAGAAGTATAAACTCCTGAATTCTTAAATATTTTGAGATTGTCGGGTCTTCTTAATCATTCATTGACATTAAAGGTCGATGCACATGTTATGTTATTGTGGAACATAGATCACTCTCTTGGTCTTTGTAACTGGATGCGGCTCATCATCACAAGATTAGCATATCACATTGTTGAAGCAAGAATAGTTAATGGGACACATGAAGGAACCAAAGTTCTTATCCCCCTAATGTCTCTCACTCCTTCTGATACGAGATTGCCCTTCAAGTTCCAGCGTAAACAATTTCCGTTGATGCTTACATATGCCATGACTATCAACAAAAGCCAAGCCCAAACACTAACGCACATTGGATTATTTCTAAAAAAAAAACGATTTCTAATCACGGACAATTGTACGTGTCTTTCTCCCGAGTCACCCATCCTGATGGCCTAAAGGTGTTAGCTCTAGACGATGATGAACAAGATTGTATTGCGGCTACCAATGTCGTCTACAAAGAGGTTTTCAGTAATGTGTAATACAATCGATGATATTATGTTCTTTTTTTTTTCCAAAATGACAAAATTGCTATATATCTAGACAAAAATATATCCTCTATATAAATGAATTAGGATAGCAATTGATTACTATAACTAAGTTGCTAGAGAACGAGCACATTTGCCCAATTTATAAAAATCCTAAACAATGATATATAAAATCTCTAAAGTTACATCACCGCATGTGTACATCTACCCATTAGCTATTACTTTGAGCAATTATTTACTTGAATTCAAGCAATGATAATATCAACAAACATAAACGATCCAAACTATATCCTTAATTGTACTATATAATATTTAATATTATAATTTAAATAATTATATATCGATCCAAATATTATTAATATATTACTCCGTATAACAAATTCATTCACGGGTGAAAATACTAGTAAATATAAAAAGATTTACTATGTATGTTTATATGAATAATTTGATAGGGAGAAAATAAAAGAATAAAAAAATCAAGGCAAAGTAGTAATTAATTAGGCACCAACCGTATCCGTATGCATAATAATAATAATGAGAGTGGAGAATGGTAAAAGAAAAGCAAGCAATTGTCTGGTTTTCAAGAACGCAAAAGCAGCTGATTCACTGGGCGACATCTCACCTCACCTGTGAGCTGTGTGGTTCACACCACGCGGCACTCTCTCTCATTTTCACATAATCACCATTCCTTTCCTCTTCCCCTTCACCTCTCCCACCAATCGCTCTCCCTTGAAGGAAGAGGAAGAGATCACGGAAACGGAGGAGGGGCTTCTTGGGTCCGATGGGTTCCGGCGGTAGCCGTCTGGGTTCGCGACCCCATCGCCCCTCCCGCAACCGCAGCGTCAAACGAACCCTCTCTTCTCTTTTAATCTGCGGTGCTTCTCCTTCCGACTCGCCCCATGATCAGGTATACGTCTATGGATTTTTTTCTTTTTTTCCAATTAGATTGTTAAAGTTGCGATCTTTATTCTTTAATCAAGCGTCCCTTTCATTTATTTCTTCTGATCCATCATTGATTGGTAGCTCTGTGAATTTATGCTTTCATCCGTAGACCCAGAATTGGGATTTTTGCTTTTACATGAACGAATGAATTAAAAGTAATGAATATGTAAAGCTGTGTTGGTATATTAGGGTGCTCACTTTTAGATGATTTATTATTTGACTGTTAGTTAGGTAAGGGAACATTACACATTTATATGAAAATTGGAAGGTTTGACTGTAACTGATGGTTGGGTGAAGATTGATTAATTAATCAGGTGCTCATTTAAACTATGAGCTATGAAAATCATATTTAGACTTGTTTGCAGCAGCATATGTATGGCTTGTAAAACACGACATACTGCTTATAAGTTTCTACCATACGTTGTGGTGAAGGAGTTGTAAGCAGCTGAGAACTTGTGTAATAAGGTGCGAAGCGTCACTGCATATTCTTTAAAAGTGGCTTTGGTTGGTCTTGAATATAACATGAGAGGCTTTTTCATTGGCACTCCAAGCAGCAGCGCCATGCACACTGTTTCTCTTAGCATACAGTGAGGTATACCTTGTTACCTAATGGCTCATGTTTCTGCCCCTTGTGTTTGGACCTTCAATTAATCTTGAATAACACAAATGTATATTATTGAGAGGAGATTTGTGCATAATTAGAACCAAAATTTTTGTCTAATGGGGTGGCTCTGATTCTTGTGTTTACTTTGTTAAGCATGTGTGTGTTTCACTCAAATGGTAATGAGGGATTGTTGAGGTTTCTGAGATAGTGGCAGGCTTTTGACTAGTGTGTATATGTATTTGATGGGCAATATTCTGTGTTTGAGGTTGTTTCTTTGAGGAATAGAGCTATTATCCTTTTTTTTTTTTTTGTTATTATTTTTATTTTCAATTTTCTTGGATTTTAAATTCTTTTGTTATCTAATGCTGGTTAACATGAGAGAGAAGAAGATAAAGGGTTATGCCATAGGGAAGATTGGGAAATATCTGTTCATATGTATGATCAAAGCCAAATATTTGAAAACTATGTAAATGGGTATTCAAGTTTGAATTCATATGTTTTGTTTGCTTTGCTTGTGCTGTAGATAGAAGATCATTTGCTGGTCAATTCTGCAAAACACATTAGGCCAAAAAAGCTTAAGGCCCCAAGGAGGCGTTCTGGTGCTTCCTTTACTTGCTCTAAAATTGAAAGTGGAGTTTCATCTGCTGGCAATGTGGTAGATGGTCCAAGCAATGTCAATGCCAGTGATACAGGACGAAGCTTTTCTGAGAATAAGGAAGTAGCTCCCAATAGTATTCGTAGTGAAACTACTCATACTGCCCCAGGGGATCAACCCTTTCCAATCTCTCTATATAGAATGGAAAATGCGGATAACTCTGAAACAGCTAGTACAAGGGATGATGATGGGTCACTGATTTGTGCTGTGTCCACTCAATTTAGCACTCCATCCCATGGGGGTATTGAATCTCCATCACCTGAGGAGTTGCTTGGAAACCGCTCAGATGATGTTATCATGTTTAACAATTGTGATTCTGCCTCTGTATCTGTTGTTTTGGACTCTCCAGTAACTTCCCATTCTCCCATAGATGATTTGGTGGTGTCAGAGAGGGAACGAGATGGAGGTATACTTCATGCTGATATGGACAGTATCTCTTCCAATGTCCATTCTAGTAGCTCTGCTGAGGGTAGTCATGAACCAAGACGCAACAATCGAAGGCTATTTTGGGATGCCTTTTCAAGAAGGCGCCTTAGGAATAATGCAGATTCCAGGACCTCTGTCTTTTTAAATGATGATTCAGATGATGTAGGGCCTCATGAGAGATGGACACATGACCTTCGTGATGGTGCCTTTCATAACGGTGTTGTAGGGAATTTCAGTTCTCATCAAAATCGATCTCATGGTAGTAATGATCAACATCAATCAAGATCAGAGGTGATAATTTGGATATGCAATTATTGCAATCTGATTATGAGACTTAAAAATTGTAGCTAAATTTAGATTTTTTTGTCTATGCATAGTCTTTTATTCTGTCTTACTTACTGTGGGAAGCTTAGCTTCATGATTGTGTTTGTAAGTTCTAGATACTTATGCCTTTGCAGATACAGGAAAGACTTCAAAGTGGCATTACTGCTAGTAATAACCCATTTGCAAACTGTCCAGCCGGTATTCACCTTGATGGTGCATGTTCATGTGACTCAGTCTTGATGGGTGACGAATCTGGCTCCCGTGCAAGTATTTCACGTATAGTCATGCTTGCTGAAGCATTATTTGAGGTAATCCTTGTTGATTGAATGAATCTTTCTACTTCAGCTGCATAATCTGAACGAGTTTTCTCTTGAATCTTATTGTTCTTAAAAATTAGAGCTTTATGCCTTCCTAAACACATTTGACTGCTTCATTTTCTTTACGGGCTTCTTTTTTTTCATATCTGTATTATACTACCTACACTATGTATTAAAGGATTTATTCTGAATTACTGTTTGTTTAGAGTTTAGTACGGAGTATTATTTTCCATGATCTTTGCTCATCTGTTAATTTCTGCCATTAGTGGAAGCTACCAACTGTATGATGTGTTATCTGCAGGTACTGGATGAAATACATCGCCAACCTGTGCCACTTTCTTTATCTATGGCTTCACTTCCAGCACCAGAAGCAATTGTTGATTCTTTTCCAATAAAGAATCATATAAAGAAAGAAGGATTATTATTTGATGGAAATGATGTAACAAAGTGAGTTTCTCTATTCCTCCTTTAACTATGTACACCATTTGGTTAGTGAAGCTAGAACATTGTTGATACGGACCATTTTTGGAATTTTATTTTATTAAATTTCACGGAAAGCAGTTGTTAGTTAATGAGTGTAAAAAGGACATTATGACCTCTCCGCTGGATCAGTAGTCTGTTCAATCAATAGCCAGTTCAGCCTTAGAATTTACGTTTTAATCACAATATTTTCCGTGTAGGTGCTACATATGTTTGGCTGAGTATGAGGAAGGAGACCAGATACGAGTGCTCCCATGCCACCATGAGTTTCACATGTCATGTGTTGATAAATGGCTGAAAGAGATACACGGGTATAGCATATCTACTTCCCCTGAACTTTTATTTCTAACCGCATCTGTTTATCTTCCCCTAAATTCCCATGAACTAATGCTATTCTACTTACCCTGAAGCTTTTTGCATTAGTGTCTGCAAGTGTTTTTTTTTTTCTTCCCGAATTCCCATGAACTAATGCCATATTCTTTTGTGCTTCAGTGTGTGCCCACTTTGTCGTGGGGATGTTCAAGAAGGTTTAACAACTACAAACGCAGATATCCCTTCCCCATTTTTGTCATAGAAGGCAGGCATCCGGCTTTCTCATTTTTGTCATCTCCTTGTCACTTGGTGGTGGTACAGGAGCGAAGGAAAACACATCTTTGATTCTTTTCTGTACACCATTCTGGTCTTCTTATTTTTTACGCTTCCCTTCCCCGAAGAACAACTTAGCTGCGACTCAAGAAAAAGAAGCCACAGGAATCAACCTCTTAATGTTGTTTTCTTTTGTTTTTGTTTTTTTGTTTGTTTTTAATGTTGCTTTGGCACACAAAGATGGTGGGTGGATTGGATGATTGTGCAAAGTTTATGCCTTTGACAACACAACCTTGTACATAAAAAAATGTAGATTTCTTCAGAAATGAAAATCTCTTAGCTGTTTTCAAAAAAAAAAAAAAAAATCTCTTTGCTAGGTGATGAATGCAAGAATAAACTTGCCTATCATTTATATAATGTTTTGCAGAAATCATAAGAATAACAGATAGGGTGATACCAGAAAGGGTTCTGGTTCATGGGAACAACAGTTGAGAGATTTAGGAGAAGAACTATACATCAAAGAAAGGGTTATACTTAAACCCCTTATCAATGCTGGTATTCATGCCATGATATCCCTTTGTATCTTGCTTAGTAGATTGAGCAAACAGATTTGGGTGACAATTTTCATCATCATCTTCTTCAACATCATCAAAGGTTTCCCATTTCTTGGAGTATTTTTCATGTTTGTCCTTGCCACCCCGCGAAGAATTCCCCATCTCTGCAACATGCTGCTTGAATTCCTTCCTCACCACATCCAACACAACATCTCCATACCTATCACACCATTGCCTAAAGGGGTAAAGATTGTGTTAGTGAACAGCAAAAATGGTGATGTTTTCAGTGTGAAAGAAAGATAGATAGATAGATCCTTACTTGGGGAAGAACTTTTTCAGGTCAGCCTTGTCTACTGGGAGCCTAGTTGAAATTGCTTCTATTTGATCATCCCTGATATCAATCAATATCTTTGCTTGCATTACACACAGAAAATTCGAACTCTATACGTGAAAACAAGAGAGAAAATTATGAAAAATTCTTACGTGAACTCAACGCTAGAGTTCTTTTCACCGAGTTTTGTCTGGATTTGCAATAATTCTTTCTTTATATTCTCCCCCAGAACCTGCAGATTATTATTATATCAGAGCACATTAGAAACTGCAAAGCAAATGCTGCTTGTTTTCAAGAAGGAATATTCAAATTTCAACTGACCTTATCGACGAAGAAATCTGAAGGAGCCCCATTGGGAAGCAGCTTCTTCTTGATCTGTTTCGTGTCCGGTCCCTCCCCAATGGGTTCTCGGTATGTTTCTTTTCCATCTGATTTCTCAGCCAGTGACAGTGGAGCTGTTTCATCATCAGAATCACTCTTCTTCCACTTCTTGAAACCATCAAATCCCCATTGTTTCTTCCCAGACTTCTCCTTCTCCTCACTCGCCTCTGTTTGAAACAGAGATCTAAATGGTTTCCTCTTTGGCTTCTCCCCTCCACTCTGCTTCTCAACTTTCACACTGGGCTCAGGACCCAAGCTCTCTGCCATAAGAATCGACTTCGATTCGCTCCAAAACGGGTTCTCTGTAGATTGAGAAGGGTTGAATGGCTTCAGATTCTCTTCCTTTATCTTTTCACTTCTGGCAAAGCCTAATGCTGATGCAGCAGCTCCTTTGATTTGTTTCATAGCTGCTTTTTGTTTGGGTTTGGGTTTGGGTTTCGAATTCATGCTCTCTTCTTTATCATCCTTCAAGTCTATGACAGACCACTCTTCATCTGAGATCTCTATCTTTGACCCAACAATCACATTTCTTGCCTCAATCTCACCCCCCTGAACTGCTAGCCTTTGCAACAACGGCCTCTTCGATGAATGATACTCCTCCTCCGATATGCATTTTGCGTATAACAACTCCTACACACACAAAAAGAACACAACTTTCAAATGAATTCAAGAGATTCAACACATACCCAGATTTTTGAGTGACGAGGTAAACTGTGACCCTAGCCGGCAAAGGATCACAAACCAGACTAAGTTGTTCATAGCTGACGGGCTCAAACCAAGAAGGCTGGGATTCAAACTCACGTTTGTATCCTTAGCCATCTTGGCTGGATTTACCCCACACATACCCATATTTGAAAGAATGGAGAATTGGGCAATCTTGACCTGTAAGAAGATTAGCTTATCCCTTAAAATAGGTGGGTGTTCATGATCAACCGGGGCGGCGATGAGGGTCTCGAGGAGGTGGGATCTGAAAGCAGAGACCTCTGGTTCACCCAGAATGCCCTCCTTGCAGAGCCCCATCAAGTTGAGTATTTGGTGGAACGATTCCTGCTGCCATTTGAGATTATCGGTCTGCTGCTTCGAGAGGCGCTGCTCTGCAGCCGCGATCGCGGGCAGCCGCTTTTTCTTGAAGGAAAACGGCAAGATGTTCTTGCAGATAGAGGTGATGGAGTCATGGAGTGTGCTGTAGTATGTGGGTGTGTATGAGTACACCATTCTTGAAAAAGCTTTTTCTTTTCCAGCGAATTTCAAGCTGCAAATTTTGCAGGAAAGATGGATCTGTTTTCTAAATTTGTGGGATTTTTTGCTTAGATTTTCTGGGGTTTATGTAATTGAAGAATGGAGAGGGGAAGTCTTTTATTGTTTGTCTGAAAGAGAAAGCTTGTTGAAAGCGTGGGGCGTAGGTGAGTGTAAACGGTCGGTTGGGAACTAGCCGTTGGATTTTAAACGTTACAATTGAACGAACTACGTCGTTTCTATTTACTCCAATTCAGTATTGTCACTTTTGGCCCAGTATATTTTCTTAGGTTGGTCCAATCACATTTTTTGGACCGCAAACATGTCTCGAAATCCTTTTTCTTTTGCAAATTTGGGCCATAAGCCGAAAATATTTTTTTCTCCTTTCATAAGCAACCCAATCAATAAATTTCTCATACCCAAGGGCCCCCCACACTCCAGTTTGATAGAGCATTTGGGGGATGTAAATCATTGTGACTCAATGGCTCAGCAAACAGGACCAAATGTCGGTGCTCACAAGAGATCGACCTACTTTGAGTATTATCCCTATACTGTCACTATTGAGGTTCGAATCATGGTCTCTTATACCATGGATTGGAGTTCACGTAACAAATTACCTTAAATATTACCTTCACATCAACTATGGGTAATATAACATTACCATACATATTACTATGTAATCTTATAAAATGAAAACAATCCCTTTTTATAAAAAGTGAAGACTGATCACAGCTGTCATTAGTGTTTATCGTTTAGGTTGTAGTAAAAAAAACATATACTAATTTTATAATTATTACAAACTAAAAATACACAATATTTATAAAAACTAACCTAATCATTTTTTTTCTATTATTTTTCAATAACCATATATAAATTATTGATGTATCAACACAATATTTATAAAAACTAACCTAATCATTTTTTTTTCTATTATTTTTCAATAACCATATATAAATTATTGATGTATCAAAATATATGGATTAGATGCCCCACCTTTTACATGGCCATGATTATAAATAGTTTGGGAACAATGATTATAACTATACAAGTATGGTCCCAAAAAAAAAAAAAAGTATGGTCCATATAGTGGGAGAGACGTGTGATTGTGCGATTACACAAAAGGAGATGCAGGCAGGGATCTTATCATGGGAAATCGTATAGTAGTGCTGGCACTGTAATCAACTATATCATATTAAGAAATAATATACAAAAGACAACCAAGTTTCCAATCTGTACACCATTCTCCATTCATCACCATTGTGTTCCCTATAGTTTTATCCAACCACGAACATCACATCAAATTTTTATTTTTATTCTTATTTTTATTAATCAAATGAGCAATACAAGACGGAATAGAAAGAATCCAACAAGAAAGACCAGACTGAGAACGAGCATCTCTAGTAAGAGCATGAGCGAGCTTGTTTGATGATCTAGAGATAAAATTAAAAGACACTATATCAAAGTGTTGTTTAAAATTACAGCATCCATTGATCAGGCAACCAGCATACAAGTAATTCGGTGATGCACCGTAATTAAACTGCAAACCATCTGGCAATCGGAATGAATATGAACCTTTGTGAAATCCCTTTCCTTTGACCAAGAAAGACTCTCCTTAATCGCAAGCGCCTCCGCCAAATGAGAATCATGTAAACATCTGACCGGTCCGTTTTTCGCTGCAATAACCTCTCCACTCCCATCTTGTGATAATGTAGATTTTAGTTGTTGATAATTTTATTTTTCTTAATTTTGTATGATGAGATCATTTTAGGTAAAACAATTAATACTTTTGAATGACTCAGAAGTTTTTGTGTTCTATTTTTTATTTTTAATTTGATATCAAAGTGATATTTTGATTTCCAAATAAGTTATCAGCAACAGGCTTAGAGCATGAAAAGATGATATCAATGATTTGTAGCTAGAATGACACTTGGAATTAGAAGGAAACTAAAAATATATGAGTAATTATTTTATAAATATAAATTAGCAATGATATAATCAATCTAACTATATCTCATAATTGATGAGAATCTAAAAGTACAAAATTTTAATAAAAAATAGTAAAAAAACTCAATGAAGGAAGAGGTAAAACAAGATTTGTTTCAACGGCTTTCACAATCCCCCTTCCCAAATACTACTTGTACATTAATACTTACAATGAAATTAAATCAATATATCTCCTTTTTTTTTTTTTTTTCGAAAACAATATATCCCTTTTTAATTATTGGTAGAATTCAAACTTTACACCTTGTGATGGTTAAAAAAGTAACATTTTTCAATTTATTTTGAATTAATTGATCAATTAAGTTGTGATTAGAGAAATTTAATTTATTTTATGCATGCAGGATTCTGTAACGATTCTCAGAAACAGAATAATTGTACGTACTGCACATGCATTATTAATTGTATGCTAAAGAAATATTATATATGCCAGTTTGGTAAAATTTATGTTGTTGGTTTGTTGAAGGTATAAGTTTTATAATTAAATTAAACTTCCAACATGTGGAACAAATATTATGGACTTTATGATAATTTTAATCATATGATGAATTACGGAGTGCATTAATAATTTATAGTCATTAAACATAAATACTTATAAACTTTAATTTATAATCACAAGCTCAGGAAAATTAGGAGCATCCTCATCAACTGTGAATTTTTTAAAGATTTTTAGCAGGACATGTAAAATAAATGAGAGAAAAAGAGGGGAAAAAAGAGAAAATAATTGCCATAAGAAAAAGAAAAAGAAAAAGAAAAAAGTTCTCAATGACACGCCCAGATGGCGCATGCACTGCTGAGCACGCCTCAAGAAGATCAGACTTAAAAAAAAAATTCACGCACCCAGAGGGAGCCTCTTGGGGTTGCTCTAAGAAGTTGAAAGTCCCATCGTCCCATTGTGGAGCAATTCAATAATGGCTTGTGAGGTTTAACTCAACTTGATATTTCTAGTTACGTTGTAATTAAGGATGTCAATTGTACCTATACCCGACCGGAAATCCAACTCCCCGATGGGGACAAAAATAGGGGATCGAAGATAGGGATGGGGGGATTTTAATTCCCCGTCGGGGACGGGGGCGGGAATAATGGGGAGTACTTCCCCGCCCTGTCCCATCCTCGCATAAATAAATAAATAAATATATGTACGTATGTATGTATGTATTTATTTATTTATGCATTATAGCCGCACAACACACACATATATGTACTACTTTGTAGATAATATATACCGAAGTATATAATTTTAGAAGCATTTTTTTCATGGTATGTCATACTTATGAAATGCATCTTTGGATAACATGTTTAGTTGTAAAATACTCAGCATTTAATACTCCGTAGTACTTTAAGTTGAATATGAATATATATGAGTTATTTATTTAAATATTTTTAAAATTTTTAATATTCTTTTATATGTTATAAGCGGGATTGGGGATTCCCTGTCCCCAAATAATCATGTGGGATGGGGATTGAGAGGATTTTCGATTCCCGAGCAGAGATGGGGACGAGGACTTGGAGTGTGGGAGAAACGGGCAGTATGCCCTCGCCCCGTTGACATCCCTAGTTGTAATATAAATCTTAAATAGTAAATACAATATTGTATATCATGTTGGTGTATAGTATTTTGATTCCACACAAATCAATAGTAAACACTAGATAAAAATAAAAAATAAAAATGAAAAAGAAAAGAGGAAAATTAGAGTTAGAGAGTGAAGATGAAGAGAAGAATTTGTAATTAAGGCGAAGAGAGAGGAGGCAGGAAGGCATGATTGCAGTGCACGTCCTGTTTGGTTGGAGGCATCTGATACAGACAGTGATCTTTACAGCAATTCTAATCAATGGTTTTCGTGGCCACGTTACTCTTCACACAAATAATTATACATCAATTATTGAATGCAAATAATTTAATTATGTGTGGTGGTTTCGTAAGGGATTTTATTTATGAAATATTTTCAAATACCTATCGTGACAGACAATGATAAATTTAAAATGTGTAATATATACTTGGGAAAAGGTACAAATAGGCCATTAAACTATTTTTGGGATAACAATTAAGCTGATGTGACCTTATTTGTGCATGTTCTTATCCCTTATTTGAATATATTTGTGGACTTAAATTCGTTAAATTGTTACTTTCAATTCCTATTTCCTTACTTTCTAATGAAGATATGATTTAATGCTTGATTTAAGAGTTTTTATTATTTTGTTAGTGTTTTGAAACCATTGCAGATCAATTGCAAAAGCAAGGGAAGTTCTAAGAAAAGTTTGGAACCAAAAAAAATAAAGTCATGGTGAAGCTAAGGAGGTGCTAAAATGCTTCAAAGAGAGCCAAAGAGTGGTACTTTCAATGGATTTGATCACAGAACAAAACAAGGGAACATGGAGCAAAAGACCATAGAGTTGTAATTCCCGCTAAATTTGGCGACACCTTAGTATTTTGATCATATCTCACTCTAGGAATGTCCGATTCAAGTGATTCTTGCGCCATTGGAAAGAAGACTCGAAAGGCTACAACCTACAATGCAGCAGACAACTCGACGCGTTGAAAAGTTCAAGTAAGTTACGCGAAGAAAGGAGACAAAACTCGACGCATCGAAAATCCTGGGCGAGATTTTGGAAAGTTGTGTGGAAATTTCCTAAACCATTCCTATTGAGCTTCAACTATAAAAAGCCCATCTTCCCTCAACCCTAGGGCATTAAGCTGCGTTTTGGAGACAAGAAAAGAGGAGATCAAGAGCTACAAGTCATCTTTGAAGAAGAAGAAAAGCCAAGAAGATTCGGGAGAATTTCTTTATCTTTTCTTTTACTTTGGTTGTTGCTTGTAAACTCTTTTACATTATTGTTATGAATATTTAGCCATGCTTGGCTAAATTCCTTTAGAGATTCTCGGGTGAAAGTGTTTATGAACCTATGTGCCTAGTTCTCAGATTCTTTAATATATTTATATTTGAGTTTTATAACTCGTGTTGCAATTGTGTTTTGTATTGTTGATGCTAGTAGTTAATGACCATAATTACTCGTTTCATAGCTATCTTTATGTCTTAATGGGAGTTAGGGTATAATTAAGAGCACCCACAGTTGCACCTAACTATTGCACCTGGGAGAGGGCATATTTGTTAAGGAGTTAACTTTTGACTTTTGCACATCGGAAGATGGCTATTAGTTGATAATTTATTATGTATGTTTGTTCTTACATTGTTGGGTGTTTATATCACGGGAGTGAATATTCACTTGTATTGTTTTAGGCTGGAGATTACGGGGTAACTCTTTCCCTTGTTTGCATTCTCACACTTGTTTAAACATAGATTTAATATTGCACTTTAGATTGGCACTAGGTGATTAAACACTTGAATTCCAGGAATCTCACTCTCTCTCTCTATTGTTTTCACAAACCTGCTACTTTGCTCTTTAAATTAGTTTTATAATTAATCAACCATCCATGATTTTCGTTAGGATTAGCTTCACAAGAATAAATTAGTAACTAGTGCTTGATACGCCTCGCTTCCCTGTGGATCGATAACCCGATACTCCGGGTAATTATTTGTTTGAGAAATATACTGCAATCATAAGCCACCAACTCGAATAAGCTCCAACTTCATCCATGAACCCGAAAAAAGTACAATTAGCATTTTCAGCAGGTTAATAACAAGTTTGAGTTGATTGGGATGCCATGTATATATTTTATTATATATATTATTGTTATCATATCATACTAAGCATTTGACCCTGACACTTGCGTCTCTCCTGAGCGGTAACAATTCACCGGTCAAGGAGACACGCATGTCTAGTCTGTATACATACGTAGACTACGGGAAAAAAAATTCAAAATTATATTTTCTGACAAGAAACGCATTTGGCAAATCTATTTTTTTTCAACTTTCAAAAACTCTCTATTTTTGTCAAATTTCTTTGTTTTTTGCCTATTTCTGTCATTAACCCTTTCAACTCTTACCAAGGAGCATTGATGAATATGAGGCCGTTTCGACTCGTGCCAAGGAGCTTGGGAGAATATAAGGCAATTTCAACTTGTGCCAGGGAGTATCTTTTGACTTCCTCCATTTCAAATTCCATAAAGGGGTTTGCCCTCATCATCGGTAGAAATGTATGTGTCTATGAAGAAATGAGAGGCAGATTTGTCCCACTAGGCGTGCCAATTTGTGAACACATAAACATTCAGAGATTTTATATATTAAACTCCAAACTGGTTATAATGAGTGTCAATATGATGCGGGTACAAGATCTTTGTGTAGTTCTCTAATTCTTCACTTGGGTGTTTCATTGAAGGGCCTCCGGGTTTGATCTTGAATGGAGGTTTGGATCAACATGCATTACATACCCTCCACATGGCAAAAAAAAAAAAAAAAAAAAAAAAAAAAAAGATAACATGAACCAAACATAGGAATGTAATATTTGGAATGTCACATTCCCTTGTTTATGTTATATAACTTGAACCAAACACGCCCTAAATCTAATCTTTTCTCTAATTAATTAACGCTCTTCTTGACCCGGTTGATATATAACCCTAATCTCTTGCATTCTTTATTTCATATAACAATTATCCAATTCCTTCCATAGGGGATGGGGTGAAAATGGATTCATCTTGTATTTTGTTTTAAACAACCTTGATTTAAATTTTGTAAGGTATTGAAAAAAGAAGTCATTTTATATTTTTATCCTTATTTATAAGTGTTTAGGATGACAATTGATAGAGATCTCCCTAAAGATTAAAATTACAACTTCCTAAGAAATTTAAAGATTAAAGTGGTTACATCAAATATTGTGGATGAAAATTACTATATCTCCAAAACCAACTACTATGTAGAGTTAATTACCGAAATGGCGCTTGATTATAGAAATTATCGATTTGGTCATTGACTATTTTTTAACCAATTAATTAAATCCCTCAACTTTAAAAATCTTAACTAATTTGGTCATCCATTTGTTTTGCCGTTAGACATCCGTTAACTTGTGGCTAAGTTGGTAATTTTGCCGTTAGACATCCATTAACTTGTGACTAAGTTGGTAATTTTACTATAGTCAAGGGACCATTTCAGTCCTCACATGCACCATTAATATATTGGTAATTATTAAAATGGTCCCTAAAGTCATTACATGTACTATTTTCTCCGAAAAATTAATTACTAAAATGGTCCATTTACAATACTTTTTTCCTTCATTTTTTTCTCTTCAAAATTAAGTTAAAGAGTAGTTATTATTTAATACATTAATTGTATCCAGATTTATATACACCATAAATAAACCACGCACATGGATGGTCCTGCTTCATTAAAAAGTAAAATCAAATAAAAGTTTTGTTAGGATTGAGTCATTGTCTCATTGACTTTGTGGTTTAATTATTTACTTCTATAAGAGTGTATTCTAGCAATGTATAAAATATTAATTTTATTTTAAGTCATGATATACTACCCAACCTCAATGATATAAATTATGTTTAGCGAACACGTACTATAAACTTTCCCTTACTTACAAACAGTTTTGTTGATTTTTCCAACATATTTTAAACAAAATTTTCTTGCTATTTTGAAGAAAACTTAGCAAAGCGGAAAAACGTGGCTTAATTTTACCGTTAATATATTTGTACCTTAATTTTGTTCAAGTTAGTCCAGTACTTTAAAGAATGGTACGATTAAAGAAAATAGTTAACAGTTACTGTTAACTTAACTAATGTGTCGGTGGCATTATTGTTGTCACATCATAATATTTACATGCTAATTTATATATTATTTTATAAATAGTTAAAATTAATTATTTTACTACTAATATATTACATTATTATACTTAAAAATATATAATTACATACATGTTTTCATTGAGATTTGAATTGTATAACAAACACTATCCATTACCACTTTATTACAAACTAACTTTGAGCAACCTCTCAAAGTGAGGGGCTCCTTGTGCGCAGTAAGCAATAGTCTAGCCTCTGTGGTTCATGTTCAGTTGAATTACCATGATTTACATCCTCCCAGATGCTCTGTCGGGTCGGGGTGCGGGGGGCCCTTAGGGTTGGGGTTCAACGTTTTGGAAGAACTTTGTTATTTTATAACCAGCTTGGCTGGCGTGAGTGGCCGTGCACTAGAGAGGTCGGGAGTTCGAACCTCCTCTCGTATGGAAAAACCAATTTGACAAGCACTTTGTCCTTAATTGGCCCGGCCCGGCCCAGTGTGAATAGGGATTAATCTAAGTATGGTACGGATTTAAAGGTGCCTCGATCCTACAGTTAGGATCTGCTCAGAATATCTCATGACTTGCCAAAAAAAAAAATTTTGTTATTTTATTGCGAAGTATAGTTAAATACCATTATAAAATGGGACATGTAAAACATTTTATTTGTATTTAAAAAGTTTCATAAAATTTGTAATAAATTGATATGTAAAATTTTAAAATTTATATTAATAAAAAATTAATAACAACGAGTAAATTTTTAATATTTTAATTTATTCTAGTCTATAATATTTTAACAACTGACTTTTTATATTTTTTATTAAAATTCATATTACTTATTAGTTTATTAAAATATTAATATTAATAAAATTTTATTGATGTATTGCACATTTTAATTTATTTTATTTGAATAAATTAAGTCACATGTATTTTAATATTAAATTTTAAAATTTTAATTGTTAAAAATTAAAAAGATAAATAAATTTAAATATTAAAATTTAATCTTCATTATTTTATAAATCCACATAAGCTAAATTATTTTTATATCAATATATTCTTTTCCTTGAAACTTATTAATACAAATAAAATTTTCTACAGATCCCATTTTATAATGCTATTTTATAATACTTTGCAATTAAATAATAAGATGAGTGGCATTCAAAAAAAAAATAATAATAAGATGAGTGTGTAGTAAAGTGGGTTCGGTAGACTTTGTTATGAGAGAACGGTGTAGCAGCTAGATCGTTGGAATAAAACATATGTGTGCTTGATGATTGGGTGCCTTCGAATACCTCCAATAGAACTGTATGTAAAGCAGTATTGCCAAGATTGTTGATGATTTGGCACTTCGGAACATAGCCTAGCCTGGCCATGACCACGGGCTCGACCTCCTCTATTTCCACTACCACGACCACGGGGTTTGTGATCCATGTTGAGCTGCAAGTAGTTGTAGGGAAGCTAGCAGAGGAATGTCATCAGTGTAGATGAACTGAAGAGCAGTGAGATGGTCATTTACTTGATCAATTGTCACAAGTTCTTTTGTGATCAATGAAGGGACCATCGTGCAGTACTCAAGGTGGAGGCCTTCAAACATGTATAGATTTTGCCCATCTAAACTAATTGGCCGGCCGACTTCTGCAAGTAATCCAATTAAAAACTTAACTTTGTCAATATGTTCTCTCGTAATGGAATCCCCTTGGTGCAAAGATTGTAGGTGACTAAGGAGAGGTGGACCCAAATGTAGCTTTAATAGCTTGCCATAGGGGTTGGGATGTGGCATGTCCACATCAACATACATAACATCATTCGACAGAGATGAGATGAGCATGAACAGAATGGAAGAATCTTGATAGACGTACCCAAGCTTGGGCAGCAGGATTGACTACAACAAAACAATCATCCGGAGCCTGAATATAAGAAGTCAAGCGTGGAAAAGACTCAAAAGAGCCATCAATGTACTTACTGAGATTTTGACCACAGAAAGGGCACCGGTTGAGTTTTCCAAAATAGATAATTTGAGGAAGTAATAAGTTTGAGGGAGATGAAATGATGGTTGTTTGCAGAGTATTTATTGGGGTTGGGGCGTATTTACGCATTGAGTTTTTATAATTTTAGGAAGTCAAGCATTGATTTTTTTTTTTTTTTATTGATCAATCTATTTACAAAATACAGAAATGGACGTATTTATAGGAATACGAAAGATAGTCCTACTTAGAATAAAACTTGTAGAAGGAGAGTTTACAAAAATATACTGATATGGAGTAGGAATACAACAGCCGTTATAGTAGAAGTGTAGAACATTGTACAGATTATTAGTAATTCTGAAACAAAATTTGAAAAAAAAAATGGAAAGAAGGTTGCTAAGAAATATGAATAAAGGGAATGTCAGGAGGAAAAGAAGGCCATAAGAATATGAAAAAAAAAAAAAACTCACATTTTTATACATTATACTTTTTAAAATTCGGAATTTGGTTAGAATTTATCTAATGAAGTGCTCTCAACACCAGATTAAAAAAAAAAATCATATTTTACTAGTACTAATTAAAACTTATTTTATCTTTAACTAAAATAGTAAAATTAATATTTAAACTACACATTTATATTTTATATATTATATTATATGCTGCTCAGCAGTACTAAAACTAAATAAGACAAAATAAAGCTTATCTTTTAGAGGGTGGTAAGAATAAATTTTTTTTCCTTTAATGTTTGAGAAAATAAAGGAAAAGTTAAAAAAAAAAATAGAATAAAGGTACTAAAAAAACCATAGGAAAAGGCGCAAAGGTGTAGATGAGATGGGAGGTCCAATGACAAGAATTTTGAAATATTTGTTCACTCCCCACCCACAAATTAAATTGCCTTTGGAGAGTGGAAGAGTGGAATCAAAGCAAGGAGAAGATTTTTGATTTAAATGTCACTGAACCTTAATTAGGCCAGCCCGGTACGAACGAAGATTAGTCTTAGTATGGTACAAATTTAAGAGTGCAACCTACAGTTGGAGCTTATTCAGAACACCTCGTGGTCTGATCTAAAAAAAAATGTTCGTGTTATATAATAAATAAATAAATAAAGTATAATTTTATATAAATTAAAAGTGAAAAGCGTTTCACAAGAATTAAACCTTATTTTATTTAATTGAAATATATTTGAATGTTCATAAGTACTACAATTTGTCATTTTCATTACATTTTTTGTTTACATTTTCTAATTTCAGTTTGTACGAAGGATCGATCAAACAGAGGACTTTCATTTTTGTCATTGTCCCCAAATTACCTTCAATCTCAATTAAACAATTAGAAGTATCATAGCTAACCACAACACCAACTGTCCTTCAACAAAAATACAAAATGTATATATTGTTATTCACAAAAACTTGGCTGAAGGTGCGTATCCTGACCATGTAATTTTTTTTAATTAAATAACAATTATTATATTCTCACTTATCGAAAAGTACTAGTTTTTTACGCGTATTGCGCGATTGGGATAATGTCCAATGTTTTTTTTTTTTAAATAAGTACTTTAAAGTATATAAAGGCAAGATTATATTGGAAAGTTATTCACAAAAACTTGGCTGAAGGTGCGTATCCTGACCATGTAATTTTTTTTTTAATTAAATAACAATTATTATATTCTCACTTATCGAAAAGTACTAGTTTTTTACGCGCATTGCGCGATTGGGATAATGCCCAATGTTTTTTTTAAATAAGTACTTTAAAGTATATATCAAGGCAAGATTATATTGGAATTGTTAATGCATAGATAATTGAATGTTAAATTTGCATATTTAAATAGGCAATTCTAAGTTTACAAATGTAAGATAATATAGTCAAGATGGATTATAATTGTCAATAAAATAATTGTATAGGTATGGTAGAAACCAAATACGGGACATAAGGGAGAGCAAATAAAAATTAGGGCATAAAATATTAAATATATACTAATATTGAAGAGCTAACTGCTGATTGCCAAACAAGGACATTGCGAGATAGTTTCCCACTTCAATTTGTTGTGTAATTTGAGTACTCTTTTTGTCAATAAATCGCCCAAGTAATTAATATGATTGACTTAATTATATTTTTTTATTTTTTTATTACAATTATTATTATTATTATTATTATTATTATTATTATTATTATTATTATTATTATTATTATTATTATTATTATTATTATTGTTATTAAATATATGTATACCCTTAGGTCATTTTACATGTTAATCTAAACAGTTAATTTTTTCAAATATCTTTTTACCAACCGTTGATATAATTTGATGTTCAAATTCGCTAATATAATTTGCTAACGCTAAGCGCTAGCTGCTGATTGTCAAACAAGGACATTGTTAGGTAGTTCTCACTTTAATTTGTTGTGTCATTGCGAGGTAGTTCTCACTTTAATTTGTTGTGTGATTTGAATACTCTCTTTGTCAACAAATCCCTCAAGTAGTTAATATGATTGGCTTTATTAATTATATTTTTTTTAATTTTTTCATGGTATTAATAAAATACTTGGTAAATAAATATATATAGCATTATTTTGTATTATAACTTTGATATTTAATTAAAAAATAGTGCACAAAAAAGATAATAGACAATGTAGTGAATATAATCAATTCATGAATTTGAATGTAATGAATTTTTACATTGGAGAAATATAAAGACAATATAACTAATAAAATTATTTTTTTAATTAATTTATTGATAATGAATATTTTTTTTTAATAAATACATTGTAGGGACAATGTAGCGAATATAATCAATTAATGAATTTGAATGTAAAGAATTTTTATATTGGAGAAAAATAAATACAATATAACTAATGAAATTATTTCTCTTATTTAATTTATTGATAATGCATAATTTTTTTTTTGAATAAAGACATTGTAGACACATAATTCTAAATTAAAGAAATGCATATGTATTATTAATTTAATAAAAGTAAAATAGAGTACTAATTATGCCAACTTTGATTGGGATGTGGTTCGAACCTAAGACCTTTCTTATTGAAATCAGTGAGTAAGTTAATGGTGAACTAACAGAAATTAATGGAAAATATAATATTTAACGGAAAAGTTAACGGATAATCATATTCATTAAGGATAAATTATGAAATCTTAAGGAAAAATTAAAATCTGATCAATCTGAGCCATTCATTTGATTAAAATATTTGACCGCCATTTTTTTTACCCATTATAAGTCTAACTCTCTTAGGCTCTTATTAGTATAGTAGATTATTAATTTTTGAAAATTATTAGTATAGATGTAACATTTATTTATTCATACATAAAAAAACATTACATTTTTATTAATATAATACTTGTATTATTATCTAATTTATATGAAACGGTGTCACACAAAATCAATCGATTATTATTTTATATATGCATCTTAAGTTTCTTATATAACTAGTTTAAACTAAATTTATATTTATGCTATTGTTTGTTCTCAACATAAAGGGTAAATTAAAGAGTGATGCTATATTTTTTTTCTTAATTTTACTCTTTAATGTTCACCTCACATGCTAAAGATCTTGTGGTCAAGAGACATGAAGTGATTTTCTCAAGTGAGAAGTCATGGGTTTGAGCTTCAGTGGAGATTGTATTGACCCGTTGGATTATGTAACAGGGTCAATAGTACTTTAAAAAAAAATGAAATGTTCTCCTCACATGATTGACTTTCTTTTAGTAATGGGTTAATAAGTAATTAACTTCATTTTTTAATGGGGTTAGTTCATTGGCCAATTCATTGTAGATGATGAATATAAACGAATTTTATCACTAATGAATATTATGACTAGTAGGGATGATCACGATTTGATTCAAACTAATTGTTTCAAACCAAATCGGACATTGTAGCAACCAAATCGAAACTGGAACCATAAGGATGGTTCATATTATATATAGTTCATAATCGAAACTTTTTTCCGCTTTATTAAAATCTGGGAAGTAGAACCACCGATTCCGTTCCAGTTCTAAACCAGAAAAAAAAAATTAATTGTTGAATTTGAACTATTTTAAAAATAAAAAATTAAAGAAATAAGGGTCAAATAAGCCACTCAACTGCACACCAAAGTGCAATTAGGTCATCCAACTCAAAACAATGCAATTAAGTCCCTGAATAACACAAACTCATGCAATTCAACCTAAAATTACTTGTTTACCTAGAAGTATGATGACGTGATGGTATTTTAATTTTAAAAATATTTTTTAAAATAATTTTAAATAAAATAATTAATTAAAATTTAAAAAAATTAAAAAAAAAAAACGGTCGGAGACGAAGGGGACCTTCGCCGCTTCGTCTCCATGGCCAAGAGACGAAGTCTGTCTCCGGCTGGCTTCGTCTCCTGGCCATGGAGACGAAGGTGCGAAGGTCCCCTTCGTCTCCAACCATGGAGATGAAGGTCGAAGCTTCGTCTCCATGACAGGAGACAAAGGTCTTCGTCTCCAGCCATAGAGACGAAATCGGACGGAGACGATTCGTCTTCGGCCGTTCTTGTTTTGTTTTGTTTGTTTGTTTGTTTGTTTGTTTGTTTTTTTTTTTTGTAATTTTTTGTTTTTGTTTTTTTTTTTTAAATTGTAATTAATTATTTTATTAAAATAATTTTTAAAATTGGTAAACGTCACTTCATGTAAACAGGTAATTTTGGATTGAATTGTATGAATTTGTGTTGTTCAGGGACTTAATTGCATTGTTTTGAGTTCAATGGCCTAATTACACTTTGGTGTGCAGTTGAATGACCTATTTGACCCTTATTCTAATTTTTTTTTTTAAAGAGTTCAAAATGGCGATTCAAACCGGAACTGCCTGTTCCAATTTATCATTTTCTAGAACTGTAAACCAACAGTTCGGAACCAAATCTCAGTCACCTCTAATTATGAGGTAAAATTACAAAGGGAAAACTACATTATTAAAAATTAAATAACTATTAAGATTTTAATCACTTTGAAAACAGATTTTATCCCTGGAATATGTGATGAATGAAATAATATTTAAAGGAATGCATTTATTGACTTATTCCATTGTTTATTTTAACTTTTTATTTCAGGAAATAATAAAATTTTAAATAATTATTTCAGTTCTATTTTTTTAGTGTACCCAGAGTTTCCACTTGGACAGCGACTAAAACCCTCGTTGAATTGTAGGCACCTCTCTTGGGCCGGACAGTTGGTCTGGAGATTTAAGGCTGCTCTATACCCAAAGCCTATGATCGAACCCTTGGCTTTGGTTAAAGATGGATGAATCTCTTCCACTTAACCACATCATAGGTTATTTTAGTTCTATTCTTTAAACCAAACGAAAATGCAATCCATATTGTATTGGAAAATACTATATATACTCTCACTTTTTACTCATAACTTTTGTTCCATCTCACAAATTCTTGATGTAGACACTTTTCTTAAAATCCACATGATAAAAATATCTTATCATTATTTGTCATGTTAGTGAGTAAAAATGAGGGAGTATAATTTGAGAATACAAGTAGTAAAATTCTATTGTATTTATTATTTATTCCGCTATTTCCTATATATAGAATATGATTCATAGTCCTTCAAAATCCATCTCATAAATTAAACATGTTGTCTAGGTATAGATATGCACCTTTTATATGCACATACAACACAATACCCTGGAGTAGCGCCATAGTTAAGCTGCTGCCAAGATTATGGCCCTGTTTGGTAAAAAATTGGTCTATAGGCCAATTTTGACTTATTTGACAACTATTAATTGTTTGATTTAGTTAAAATATCAATATAAATGTTTGGTTAATTAGCTTTTTGCAACTCCAAAATGCTAAAATTCAAAAAGCTACTCGAAACAACTTTTTCAATTAGCTTTTTGAAAAAAGAAATTATACCAAACAGCTAATTTACCAAACGTTTTTCTACAATCAGCTAATGTTATCAACTATTTATACCCTCTAATTAACACAATCAGCTAACAGCTATCAGCTATCAGCTAATAGCCATTTTACCAAACAGGGCCATATGGCCCTGTTTGGTAAACAATTGGCCTATAGGCCAATTTTGACTTATTTGACAACTATTAATTGTTTGATTTAGTTAAAATATCAATATAAATGTTTGGTTAATTTGCTTTTTGCAACTCAAAAAGGCTAAAATTCAAAAAGCTACTCGAAACAACTTTTTCAATAAACTTTTTGAAAAAAGAAATTATACCAAACAGCTAATTTACCAAACGTTTTTCTACAATCAGCTAATGTTATTAACTATTTATACCCTCTAATTAACACAATCAGCTAACAGCTATCAACTATCAACTAACAGCCATTTTACCAAACAGGGCTATATATATTAATTCTCAACCATAATCCACAGCAAGCAAGCAAGCTAATTACAGATTGTATAATAGTCCATCTTTCTTCTTCAACGTGGCCAAAATTAAAAAACCATTAAAAGGGTGAAGACAAAATCCCCATCCTACAACAAGGGCAATGTGCATTTGTGTCAAGCCAAGGAAGCAAACACCTTGAGTGGAACCTATGGGAACATGGCAGCTGCATCAATGTCTCACCAACCTTAAAGTGGTCCAAACATATGGCACACTCTTCCTCCTCCTCTGACGCTTTCCACCCCAACTTTTTTGCCCATTTCATCGCCTTGCTCTTTAACATCTGCACATCTCCCATCACCATTCCCCCCTTTTCTGCTGCCGTTTTTCTACAATTCCTAAATCCAGTTTCAAACCAAGAAACACACAAGTGTTAGTTCTTGACAAAAACCATGTTCTACAACATTTTGATGCAATCGAGGTTCGCATCACCATATCAATTACTAGTAGTACATATCCTATTATAACATTATAGGACGGGGTTCTTGTGGTGGAATTGTCCATCCCAAGTGTCCCCACATTCCGGTGGGCAGGATTAAGGAAGGATAAATCATAGTGACTTAATTAACTCCTTCAGTGAGGTCAGGTGTCATTGGTCTCTTGTGATAAACCATACAGGCTGTTACCAGATCATGATAATTCAGCTGAACACAAAGGCTAGATCTTTGCTTATTGCGCACAAGGAGTTCCCTCACTTTGAGAGATTTCTCTCTCCGCGGGTGAGACTCAATCATTAATCATTCTTCCCAAATTTTACTCATGTGACCAACTGAGGGCCATGCCGGCATTATTAATTATTATACTATCACTATGAAAAGAGGAAAAGATTGATTGGATGAACTTTGCGGTGTTGGCACAAAGCTATGGTGTTTTGGTAATATAAACATATATATACGGTGGAGTGTCCAAACTAGCTAGTGGACAAATTAAATTAATATACCTTTTGTGGTCAGATTTGCAATGACCTGATTTCAGCCTCTCATCCAATCTTTCCTTGGCTTCTCTGGCGGCAGCACCTAGCTTCTCATCTTGGTACGCCTTCCCAATCGTACTCCTTTGCTGCTAATTCACACCAAAAATTGATAAACACAACCACAAATATTCATTCAAAACTGGGTTTCAAAGAAATATTGCAGACAAAACATTTAATTAAGATCGAGTAGAAGTGGCCGGGAGGGATGGGTACCATGGATGAGGAGCTTGAGCTTGAGCTGAGATGGGAATCATGGTTGCTTGTGTACAGGCAAAAGGACGACCTTCTTGTGGAGGAGGAAGTGGTGGTGGAGGTGGTTGAGTCCGACAAGCCGCCGCTCTGATGAAATCTCCGCCGCCGAGCACACTCCACACCGGGAAGCATGCCGGCCATGTCTCAGCAAATTGAATAAATTTTTGAAGGAATTAAGAAATCAAGATGTTACTGTGCATGAAGAGGCGCTTAGAAGATGAGGGCAGCGAAGGAAAATGATAGGAAAGGCGTGTTGTTAGGAGTTATATATATATAGAGAGAGTGTAAGAAATGTCTGGAAGAGGGAAGCTTCTGTGAAAGTGAGTTTGTTGATGAATCTTTTATCTTTGAACAAATGGGAATAAATATTATTTTGCCGGCAGGCACCCAGGAACATTTGTTTCTACGCTGACGCCAGACCAATGACTATTGACTAATGTTCAATTGAAATTAGAATTATTTAGTTATGCTATTGCCGTAGAAAGTTTAATAAATTATATATATATATATATATATATATATAGGGTGGGGTTCTAGTGAGGTTTATGTCTAAGGTGAGGTCTAAGGTTAAAATACCACCATTAGATTAGAGAATCTAACGGCCCAAACGTGCTGACCGGATGGAAATCAAACCCCCCTAACACGGCTTAATAAATTAATGGGTAATGAAGTTAGGTGTAAAAAGTTAATGTCTAATTAAGTTGGGGGTAAAGAAGTAAAATGACTATTAATTGTGCAATACTTGGATGGAAAGCCCCTTAGTTTACGGGTCTTAACGCGTAGGGTTGTAGAGTGCAAATAGGAAGGAGAGTTGTCGGATATGCACATTCGAGAAGCTTGTAGCAGACGAAACGGCAGCACCCACGACCAACTCCTACCGGCGACTTCAACACCGTACCAATGGCGGACGGAACACCCAGGCGGAGCAACCGGCGTGCGTCAATCGAAGCTTCGAGAAGACTGCGTAAGTGTTTTTTTTTTTTTTTTTTTTTTTTTTTTTTAATAATCAGTCTTTATTTTTTATGCGCGATTGAGTGCAAAATGGAAATGCATGTATGTGTTAGTTGATTAGGGGTTACAAAACAGAAAAATGGTGGGTTGGATTTGGGGAAAAAAACAGAGTGTTTGAAGTTGATGACGGCAGCGATTCTGCCGGAATCGGAGAAAACCGGCGAGTTTGAGGAGAATTCTACATAGGTATGGGGGTATTAGTGGGCTGATTCCGGGAAGAACCATCTGAACCGTGAGTTTTACGATGGGTGTTCTGTATGTGTGAATTTTATTTTATTTTATTTTTTTTTTAAGAAAGATTAGCAAGACTGGAAAAAATTTTGCTGTGTTTAGTTGCCCGTTAATGAAGAACCACGGTGTTCATATGGTATAAAGCACAAAAAAAAAGTGGAATAATTTTTGCTAGTTGTGCATACAAATGTAGTTGTTATGACACAGTGATGTAAGGGGTGAAAAAAACTGGAGATGTATGTTCTTACTGTTTGTATTTGTTTTTTTGTTTTTTTTTTTTAATTTTTCTTATTTAATGTTTAGTACTGATAAGCAACCGTGGGAAAAAACATGACTTTTTAGTTATCCATTGATGAAGAAGCACTGGTCTGATATACTGTGATGCACAAATGAAAATTCCATGTTTGTAGTTTATTAAGCATAGTTTTATGACTGTTTTTGATACCGTGATGGTAGGGGTGTATAAAATTAAGCATTGTATAAATTAAGTAATGTGAGTAATGGATAATGTTGCAGTTTTGATGTCTGATTCTGTAAGTGTGTGCATATGTGCAGTGTACAAAATAATAAGAATGAATAATGTTGTGCAGAAAAAATGAATTAAAAACACATTGCATGAATACATGATTGGCTGCAAAATTAGGAAAAAGTGAATCGGGAGACCACACAGGAACAGATAAGGCAATAAATGATTGACTAAAGTTTGTCTTTACCAAAGTGTCTTCACTTAGAAAGGAAAAAAAAAAATGGGACCCCTTGCCTACACCATAGAAAAACAATTAAAGAGGATAGTAAATGGGACCCCTTAACTGCAACCTAATATAAATAAAGTATGAAGTGTGGCATGTGGCATTTTGTTGCATACTGAGCTATGCCATTTGTGTTTGTTCCTTGTTGGTGAATATGTGTGCAGGGAAGAAGGCAAAAATGTCAAAGGTGCAGCCAAGTATTGTGAGTGATCCCAACCTCGATGACGACTTCGTAAGCCCACCAAAAGGAGACCTTCAACCGCAAAGACCGAATACCAATGATTGCTCAGAATACGAACTACTACCGGAAGAGGAGGCACGATTTCCAAAATTCGAGACCCGGGCTATGGCAAAACACCTCGTTGAACCGATGAAAAAATTTGGATCGCTGCAAAGGACTGCAGTTAGGGCACTAGGCTTTGGAGATTTGTTGAAACTGAAGGTCGAAGACACGCCTCTGCGAATGGGGCATTGGTTGATGAAGAACTTTGACGGGAGTTCAAAGACGTTAAATCTAGGAAATGGCCGGTTTCTAAAGATAACAGAAGAGGATGTGGAGGCAGTTCTTGGATTTCCACGAGGACCCCGGGAGATTAAAAAGAGGGGCCGGAATGCAAAATGTGCCGAGCTCGATGCATGGAGAGCAGAATAAAGGGGGACCACACAATAACCCCTTACATGATAGGGTTGTTGTTAAAAGAGAAAAAAGATGGTGGAATTTGGTTCAAGAGGCACTTCACAGTCCTAGTGGCAAGCGTCCTAATCTGCATCCAACAAAATGGGTATGCAAATCAATCAATAATACACAAAGTCAAAGATGTGAGCAAGATAAGGGAACTGAATTGGTGCAAGTATCTGATAGACGAGCTAGTTGAATGCCACAACAAATGGGTGACAAAGCAGCACAAAAAATTTACTGGACCATTGCTATTCATAACGGTAAGCTTATCATTCTGTGTGTAATTAATTTTAGTATTGGCGTGAGGTTGAATGGTAATCTGTGTATTGAGTATATGATTATGATAATAACAAATGTTGTCATGAGAAATGAAAATGCAGATGTTGTACGTGGACAAAGTTGTGAGCCCATGCCGATACGTCGAGCGAAACAGACCATCATTCATAGGGTGGACTGCAAAACTGTTAAACGAGCGTGAGTTTGCGGAGATTAAAAAGGGGGGGGGGGGGGGGGTTTGGTTTAGGAGTGTTTGAGAGAAACGGAGAAGAATACGAGCAATTGAACGATCACAACAGAGACGAAAACCAAGAAAATGAAGTCGAAGATGCAGTAAAGGCAAAAACTTATACGGTTAATTTAACAAGGAGCTATAATTGGTTAAAAACCAGCTAGTTGATTGTGTTAGCACTTACAATCTGGACCACGAAATGGCAGGCCATGGAGGTACGGTTTGTAGATGATGCAAACCAGGTTATAACTAAAGTGCAAGAACTCACTAAACTTGCGGATGAAGCTGGAAAGTGCACACTGAGTCCTACAACGTTCGAGAAGTTAGTGGAGGCGGGAAAGTTGCTGTTAAGAGTAGGACAACGATATGTGGCAGCGAGAGAAAAATGCAAGCACAAACAAGCACACTCCGAAACACAAGGTGCCGAAGACCCAGTGAGCAGTGCATCAAAAAATACCGGTGAGGAGGGTGGCGAAGCTGATTTAGGCGACACGGAGACAGAAGTACAAAATGAGATAAACATGCATATGGGAGACACCGAGGCAGCATATGAAATGCCATCATTCAGTCTAGGCTTAACCCAGGAGATGCACACTGTACCGGTGGTGAGTGAACCAAATCAGGACCCCGTGATTGAAGATGATGCTGTAAGTTAAAAAAGGAATGTTCATAAATAGGACAACTGTAAAATGCACCACAAATATATTATTTTGAACAATATCAGATTGGCAGTGTGATTTTAATGTTCAAAAACGCAGTGTGAGGAAGCGATGCAGACGGAAGATGAAGGAAGAGAAACCAGGAACGCATCAATACACGGCAATGATAAGCACCCCACGCCAAACCAACAAGAAGATTCATTCGTCACACCTCCGGAGGTATGTCGCGTGCTAAATCGATATAAGCTTCGTTATGGAAAATAATTTAAATTAAAATAATGTGCATGATATTGGGAAACAAAATGCCAATGTTGCGTGATTTAAAAATAGGTAAAGGTTTGGGAAGTGGATGTGTGAAATATGTGAAAATGAGTTTGAACTAAAAAGTTGATAATTGTGCATCTGTGAAATGTTTGGGTAGTTAGAATGTGAAGTGTTTGGGGACTGATTGTGCAGCAATGTGGTAAACTGAATTGCAATGTTACCATATAAGACGGATGTACATGGTATGGCTATTAGACGTCTAAAAGTTAGCTACATTTGTGAAAATAAATAAACTAGTCTCGAAAAGTTTAATCACACAGTGGGCAAATAATGACCAAAAACACGGGAGCTAGATTAATTTTAAAACACACATTTTGCAGCAACTGATTAACCCGAAAGGAAAGGACAGAGGAGACCAAGGAGGGACCATAGAAAGGGCACCAATGAAAGTGCAACGTAATGAAGGCAAGACGACCAACTTACCACAAAACCAAGGCACACCGTCAGAGCATGATCGCATAGCACGAAGAGAGCTCACAAAATGGTACTCCCCCACCCCAAGTGAGATGAAGAAATGGATAATCGAGAATGCAAATGCTGACAAGTAAGAAAGATCACATTACAATTCAGCACCTAATGAAAAATAATATTACACATCACCTAATTTGCAACCACGCAGGGACGAGGAACTCTTCCACTTCAACATCCAACGAGCATTAAGATCTGACATGCTAACACTAGACACTGGCAAAGAAGTGAACGCGACAGTTATAGACAGCTGGGCATGCGTACTAAATGACAAAGAACGGGCAAAAAAAATCCTTGATCCGGCACGATTCTTTGCATCAACCAAACTAACGGTATGCAAATTCTATTTTATTAAAAAAAAAAAGGAATACTTGAAATACTCCAATAATATGAAGACTGTATTTGACTAAATATGACTATGTATGCATGCACAGATGGAAACAGTGGTGGGATGGACAGGGACACGAGCACAACAGCTCAAACTATTTAAAAGGAAAATGAAAAGCGAGATGACTTTCAGCCCATACAAGAAGTGGACAGAGATTGACATGGTAAGTTAACATACGACTTAAGAGTCTAAGAAGTAACAAATGTATGTGTTCATGTTTTAAAAATGTTCTTGCTAACCAAATCGAATTCAATGCGCAATGCAGTTCATATTCCCAATATGTAACAATTCTCACTACTATGTCATCGCCGC